CTTCATGCAGATATCTATTAAGTATTTTATTAGTAGGTCTTTACCTATGAAATTGCTTTTTATCTATACAAATAAATAAAATTGAAGTGTCTGTTTGTAATATCAAAATAACAGCATTTTACTAAATGCATATGAAAGTATATACGGTACTTACTTATAATAAAAAAAACAATTTTTAAAAATTTTGTCTGTCTGTCTGTTTGTTCCAGCTAATGTCCGAAACGGCTGGACCGATTTTGATGGGATTTTCACTAGCAGATAGCAGATGTCATAAGGAGTAACTTCGGCGGTTTTTATTTTAGAAAAGAATTAGGGTTCCGCGCAAAAAATTAAAGCCCTAAATAACACGCGGGCGAAGTCGCGGGGAACAGCTAGTTATGAAATAAGTTAACGTATTTTTTTTCTATATTTTTTATTTCTATTAATCAAAGTAATCACGCATGCAATCGATGCATCTTTGACAACGCTGTGGCAATTTATTGATGCCCTTCTTGAAGAAATTAGCTAGACGGGAACTAACAAATTCTTCAAAGGCATTTTGTACTGCTTCTCGAGTATTGAATTTTTTTTTGTCAAAAAGCTATCCAAATTCTGGAAAATGTAGAAATCTGTAGGCGCAAGTTCTGGTGAGTACGGCAGATGAGCTTCCAACCCTAGCTCTTATAAGTTGGAGACCGTCTGTTGTGCAGTACGAGGTCGCACGTTGCTGTGCAAGTTTCTCCGTCATTGTGTTCAGTTCTTCATAGTACACAGCTGCAGTAATGCTCGTCCTGCTTGGTAAAAAACTGTGATGAATCACACCGGCGCTAGACCACCAAACATATACAGTCACTTGTCTAGGGGTAAGTTTTCGTTTAGGGCATTGTTAAGGTGCTGAACCAGGATCCAACCAACTTACTGAGCTCTAGCGATTATCAAACAGAATTCATTTTGGTCGCAGGTAACAATGCGGTTCAAAACTCCTTCGTTTGTGTGCCTGGCAAGGCACGTGTCGACGCGTACTTCACGCTGCCGATCATTGAGTTCGTGGGGCACCCATTTGTCAAGCTGATGACGAAAAAGATTCAAATGCAATGAAACACAGCGCTAATCAATAAACAAATGACTAATATTGAAAAAAGAATTCCATATTTATAAAATAAAATTAATTTGAAATTAGAATTCTTAGCCAAACAAAAATTGTTTTGATTTGAAATGGCCAGTACCTACTGCAGAACGACAATTTCATAGGTAAATACCTATTATAAACTTATTAACAAAATTAAATAATTTAAAAATGAGGCGTGATGCCGCCGCAATAATCTCTTTTCAGTTTCTCCTTACAAATAAACAATCAGACAATTATGTAAATCATTTCGATAGTATGAATAAGGAAAACAGATAACGTGTTATGATGAACTCAACAGTTACTCATTTGAATTCTCCTTATTATAATCTAGTTCGAAACATTTTTTAAGGAAGTAAGAGTGAGAAACGAGAACACAGTCTACCTAATGGTAAGCAGTTTATTTATAGCGATCGTAAGATCTCCATTTGACCTCTCCGAACTGGTTCCCTGGTGGCGGGGGAGCTTAGTAGCTGTAGCTTGGTCACCCGAAATAAAATAAGAACAACACACGTAGCTGGCCCGAAGTGAAGAGCCGACCTGAGGAGGCCACTCCAAATGAGCTTGGTTAGCCCACTTTCGGATATGTGTTGGTCAACTGCGGCTAGAGGAGTGTTCTCTCTCCCCGCAACCGAGAAGGAATCGCGGTGGAAGAGTGTTGGTATGGCGATACGCCCCTCACCGTATCGGTGAATGCAGTGATGATAAATTCCTCACCCTGCTGTGAGAGAATTTGACATGCAGTTTATATAGAATAAAGGTGACAAACAAGCACACATATCCTGGTGACAAGTGTATAGCGAGGCACGTAAACTAAAGTTTAATGCCGTTACCAGAAAAAGGGTCTCTGGTTTTCTACACTCTCACATAATATGTGTTCAGTACACTATAATAATGTCCTCCAGACCGGTCACTTCGGCCAGCCTCAATGAAGACTAGCCGTCGGCGCAGGACAGGATAATAGTGCCCGAGTGTATACCGCAAACGGATATGCACTCTTAATTCCCTCACTCTCATAGTCTGATGGGACGGTAAACCGACACGACCAGGGAGAGTTTAGTTGCAGGACCAACGGCTTTACATGCTTTCCAAAGCACGAGGGTGAGACACCGCCAACTTTCTGACTCCGGGCAGCGACTGAGCATTTCTAGATGGAAAAACTCAATAACTGATATTTTTGGCCCGATCCGGGACACGGGTCCTCATGTTCAGCAGTCGCACTACTACAGCCACTAGACCAACGAGGCAGTCACTATAATACTTAGAGTATAAATATAGCTTGCTTATAAATATTCTAAGCTACAATACAAAGTCATGTATTTGTCATGCACGTCGACACTCCGTCCCTCTCTGCATGCCCTTCACTTAGTTGTACTATTATTTATTCTGTGACTTAGTTTAAAACTTAAAACAACTTTATCAACAATAGATAATAAAACACACTCGTCATCATATTTTGAACGCTTTTCTCAAACGAATCTTTGCGTATGGGAGACAAAGATAAAATCATGTACTGAAAATATCCCCATTATCAAACTGTCAGTAATATGAAATGTCTTCTTGACTGCTGTAATCTAACCTACGATTAAGAAGGTCATTTAATTTTGGAATGACGAAAGTCATGTTGTTATGTTTTTCGTAACGACCTTGGATAAATCTTTAATATTCACTTGTAATTTCTTCTAGATGTTAGAATATTATGGTATATCGAATAGTTTGTACTTTACTTTATTTTAACGACGGTAATGATTAATTTATTTATTATTGTAATGATCTTACATATGGCCAACAGTGAAGGACCACGTCTCAGATCCATATGTCAACACTGGTTGTTCACTCTTGTTTCCATGTTTTGAGTTTTGTATACCCCTACACACGACATGAAAGATGTGCACACAGTCCATCCAATAGTAAATGGATGCTGTGGCTCAAAGGCATCTTCATCTATCCTCAATTAAGAATCAAAATGCAGATGAAATGCTTTAGGCTTAGGCAAAAAGTATCGATATATCGAAATGTCGATATTTTCTCATAAAAATATCGATATATATCGTCGATTGTTTTTATCGCGATATATCGATATTTATTTTAGTGTATCGAATACGCACCAATTTCGATATATTTTAAAATTTTGTATTATGTCGCATGGTTGAGCAAAATGTCGCGCTAGTCGTTATTTGTGCGGTTTTAGGAGCTATCTACTTGTTATTAACCGATTCGTTGCGGCACCAATTTTCGACAACTTTTAGCTGTGGCGGCGAACAAATATTTCATGACACGCCGGGCGTGTTAAGCGCCACAGACAAAAATGACACGCCTATTGTGCCATCCGCCATGTGTAAAAGTAATGTTCTTAAATGGAAGGATACTTGTTTTTAGTGGGTAACTACGTGTTTTTTACGCGTTTTCTTTGAAATTGAGAGAAAGTGACTTTTTTATGAAGAGATTACAAACCTTTTGTACTATTTTTTGTTGTTATAAAAAAATCATTTAAATAAGTAGGTACAGCTAAATCACCCTGGAAACCTTGGTTTTATTAAATTTAATTTTTACCTGATAATAACATTTGTAAATATCAAACAATGAAGAACCTTAATTTGAAAAAAAAAATAAGGAATATCATTCATTGATATTTACAAATGTTAAATATTATTTAATGTTATACAAATGTAAAAGTAAAGTCGATCTGAAAACGTCTAATTAGTAAGAATAGCAAAACTAGTGTTTTCAAAAGGAAAAAAACGCCGGCGCTATACGGCGGCGGATTGACAAAAGACTATTTATTAGCGAACTTTTTTTATGCATGAACGGTTTCGAACTGTTTCAAGCAAAAATAAACCTTATACCATATCACAAGAGCACATGGTACTTCGTAGGTCTATTCGGCCATATGATAGTAATAAGACGGCAGTTCAACCATTATAAGCAAAATTAAACAATAAGACAAACGCATTGTTTTTTTTTAACAGGAGACTTGTTTTCCAGAAATTTATTTACAACTTGAGTTTGTGAGCGATCGCAATGAGTGCTATTATTTGTTACTTATTAGACAATTTTTCCATAACATGATTTAAAACCCACAAAGTCAAAATAGTACCATGTACACATTAAAAAAAGGTTGTCAACCCCTAAAAATTTTCAAATTTTCAAAATATCCAGAAACGAAGCTGCATGCATGAACTTACTCGCAAAATAATGAATATTTTGTTCTGGATATATTTTCCAAAAAAGCAATTTGAGCGAGTTATAACGATTTTAAAAAAGACACGACTCGCGTGTCAGACGCCACACACAAAAGTAATAGATGGCACGCCTGGCGTGTCACCAGCACTGAACTGGTTAATACCGCAACTAATAAAACACATTAAATTTCTACATAATCTTGATTCCTTAATAGTCATGTCCAACTTTTTTTAAAAGCAGTAAATATTTGAATAATGTCCTTACAACGAAACCACATAAATATAAAATAATTATTGATGTCATGCGTCTCCTCGTAAAGTAAGCATTATTTAATTTTGCAATTGACACTAATGAACAGGCAATTTATTAATGAAGATATTGATCGATACATTTTTTTAAAAGACCAAAATTTGACTTTATTAAGAAATTATTTTAAAAACTGGGCGTATTCACTGTCCACGGTGTAGCGGGAGACAGTGAGCGCTAAGATCTCGGAGAATACACTAGAAAATAACACCATAATGCATCCGTTTTTCGTAATCTGATTAACAAAAACAGGAAGTCTCTTTTACTCAGGTGCGCATCTGCATTTTGATTTTGATGCAAATATAGACGTAAGAATAAATGGACTGTGTACTCTTTGTCACCCTCACATATATAAAAAAGAACTTAATGGATGGGGAACAAAATATTTGGAATAAAACACATATATGGCCCCGAAATACAAATTTTAATTAACATCTTATTTCATCTCTTTAAAACTATATAATATTATAATCGTCTCTTATTTCGGCTCTTAATTAAAACTATATAATATTAATATATTACAATAAACTTATTTCAGAAGTAGCAGTAAGTATTGTTGCCTGAAACAAAAAAGAAATAATTGCAAAAGAGGTTTTAATACATTTCTTAAACTTTAAAGTAATACAATACAAATATCACGCATTGGTTTTATAGGTTTGTCCTATGTTTATCTAGAACTTATAGGTTTAAATCTTATGGATAAAAAAGAAGGTGCCAACTGTGTTACTTGGCCAGAATGTAAACCTATCACTTATTCGATCGGCATAGAATTTCGCAGTAAATGTTTCCTTTACCTGGAGGAGATTCCAGCACAGTAATCCTTGCGCACCTCAGTAGCAGTTTGTACTGTATTATATAGGTACCCTTCGAGTAAAATGTTCCAGATATGTAAAATGTTCCAGATATGTTATCTATTCTAAAACTTGTTCTGTATTTCAGTTAATTGCACCATAGAAAAATAATATAGTACGAAAAATACTATATTTTTATCCCTAAATCAACTGTCGCGCTTTTTTATATTAACTGTGATTGGAAGTCTGGAACAAGTAAAATGGAAAGAAGAAAGAAATAGAGCATGTTTTAATTTAATTAAAAATGAATTATTAATTTATATTAATATGAATCTAAATTGCTCAGATTCGTATATATATATTTTAAAGGTCATTGATGGTCAAAGCGAAGAGCAATAACAAATATATATGGAAAAATACATAAATATTAAAAATAAATGTGTACTTTTTATTTCTTAAATTTCCCAAAAGTACTTTTTTTACATCTTTTTTGGGAAAAATACTATATTCATCCCAAAAAAGGTGGCAACACAACACATTGCGTACACTATCCCCAGCACCACTACTCCCAACACCGCTACACTAGAAAAGACACCACTGTCAATAATACGACACGTGTTTCGCTTTTACTTACTTATTATGATCTTCAATATAAAAGATTTCCGCAAAGTACCGCCTGACTCTATTAATTAGTTCCAGATATGCTTAAATTGCATGTTTAAAAGTACTTCACCACTTTCTAGCCAACCCAATACTATTCAAACCGGGCATAACCTAAATCAGGATTATTTTACTTCTAATTAGCATCAAACCCCCTCCCACGAATAAGAATAATAACTACAAATTTACATATTTGTTAAAAATAAACTTTGAAGCACTATCTGGTTCTAGTGAGTGAAGAATTCTCGCAAACCTCGTCAAATAAAAAGCGTTTTGTACAACTATCGACAGAATGTAATAAATATAATTTGACTTATTACATACATTTGTTAACTTCATGAATGGAAAAGTAATAATCTCAGATAGCATGAGACTAAAATCAGGTTTATCTAAAACTAGCTGTTCCCCGCGACTTCATCCGCGTGAAAATTATTACGATTAGATTTCATGGGTTTTAATTTTTTTTTCTAAAATAAAAGTAGGCTGCGGCGGTTACTCACTTCATAATCGGTCTAACCATTTCGGAGATAAGCCGGAACAAACGGACAGACAAAAATTTAATTTATTGTTTTTTTTTGTTATGTATATATATTTCGTAAAAAGCTGTTATTTTGACGTTACAAACAAACACTTTGATTATATTTATTTTTATATTTAATTAAGAAAGGAAACTTACGTAATAGATTAGATCCATAATTCCATCAGTCTTTAAGTTTCTGCAGCGGATACGGCAAGTAAGTTTTTGTATGAGCCGGCCAACGAGCGCGCTGCTAGTGATAGAATTTCTCTTCTACTCACACCCGTTGATGCTTCTTGCCACTGCGTATGTGGTACCTGGATTCATTAACATATATTTAATGCTTTGACGTTTTAGACGTAAATTTCTGACTGCTATAATACATAATATTTAATAATAATAAATATTCGTTTTGCGATACGTTTAAGGTGAAAGAATTACGATTGCAAAACGTAAGTTCGCGCTCCTAGGGATGGTTGCCCTTATTGGTCGTTTACTGTAGTCTATGGACGCGCAAGTGGCGGTCTCCAACGCAAGGTGGCGGCACTCTTGCTTGTTTTCGTACGTAGTCGAGCCAAGCTGCAGCTATATTAATAGTATAGTTGTAGCACGAATGGATCGATTTGACTGGGGAAGGACCACGCTCTCTTAAAATACCAGTGTAAAATAGTTTAGAGAACCGGAGATCCTTTTTACTGGAAAAGAGGCATCCTATCTTAGTCCTCACGGCTGACAACGCATCTGCATTTTAAATCGTAAACGAAGATAGATGTAGATGTCTATGGGCCACAGCAACCACTTACTATCAGGTGGAATGTGTGCTCGTTTGTTACCCTATTCTATAAAATAAATGTTCATTGACTGCAGTAACAACTTGCCATCAAATGCTGTTAGTTCGTTTGCCACTTCAATTTCACAGAAGAAGAAAAAAACCTCAAAAACTTCTTATTTTTAATTGACTTCAAAAAACCAATATTATATTAGAAACTTTGTCAAAAATACCATAAATTCAATGAAACACAGGTGGAAACATAGGGACCTGCAAGCTAGCGGCCATGACAGATCCGATGGTAAGTGCGAAGCCGGTCTGGCGGTGCGGGTAGTCGGGCGCGGTGGCGGCGCCCAGCGCGGCCACGGCGGCGGCCGGCACGCCGGTGCCCTGCGCCTGCGCGTGCAGCTCGATGCCCAGCGACGGCTGCGACAATACCACCAGGCACACTTCGTACCACCTGCCGCGACGAGGGATTAGGTCAGGGCATCGATATATATGTACTACGCACTAGATTTCGCATTCCGAACATTGACTATGTTCAACTGAACTGTACTGCAATCCGTACACTAACACTAAATATTGCGTAAATTAAAGATTTGTGAATTCCATAACATAATTATTATTACAGTTTGTTTAGATTAAAATAAGAGTATTTTATATTAAATTCTTACATTTATTTTATATTAAACCAGTCTTCGCGCATACGCGACTCTACTACCTCCCGCGCATGCGCGAACACATAGAGTAGCGCACAATTTTTGTTTGGAATAGCTTCTCTAGTACGTAATACATATAACTCAATGGGTTAGGGTAAGTTATTTTTTTATACGAGCAGCTATGCTGGTCTAGAGAGACCAGTATCACTGCGACTAAGGTAGGTTAGTATTTTTTTAAGTGAAACTTCTTTATCGACGTAGTGAAGAAATTTAGTATAGTATTAAAAATCCGCCAGGGCTACATGAGTACACTATTATTTAACCTACTTATCTATACAAATAAATAAAATTGAAGTGTCTGTTTGTAAAGTCAAAATAACAGCTTTTTACTAAATGCATATTATGAAAGTTTATAGGGAACTTATAACAAAAACACATTTTTTTAAATTTTTGTCTGTCGTCTTTTTTCTGGCTAATCTCCGAAACGGCTGGACCGATTTCGATGGGACTTTCACTGGCATATAGCTGATGTCATAAGGAGTAACCGAGGCTACTTTTATTATAGAAAAACAATTAGGGTTCCTTGCAAATAAAATTAAAACCCTAAATTGCAAGCGGGCCAAGTCGCGGAGAACAGCTAGTACCTATTTAAATATAACAATCAATGAATTGCATTCCGTAGTCTCGACAATACTTGAAAATGGCCGGGGGGCCGATTTCGTAGAAATTTTTTGCGTTTGAGTGAGTCTCTGGACAGTCTAAATTCACAATTGAACTCGGCAGGTGGCGCTGTTGTCGAGATCCAGAAATCACGCGTGCAAAGCCGGGACGGATCGCTAGTCATCATCATCATCATCATTACAGCCCTTCACAAGTCCACTGCTGAACATAGGCCTCCCCCAAAGAATGCCACAAAGCACGGTCCTGAGCCACCTGCATCCATCGACTTCCTGCATGTCTTACCAGGTCGTCACTCCATCTCGTGGGGGGACGCCCTACACTTCGCCTACCGGTACGAGGCTGCCACTCAAGAACCTTTCTTCCTCATCGGTTGTCGGTTCTTCGAGCTATACGGCCGGCCTATTGCCACTTCAGCTTACTAATCCGTTGGGCTATGTCGGTTACTCTGGTTCTACTGCGGATATCCTCATTTCTAAGTTTATCACGCAGAGAAACTCCGAGCATAGCCCTCTCCATAGCTCGCTGAGCGACCTTGAGCTTCCTCATCCGGCCAGCAGTGAAGGACCACGTCTCAGTTCCGTATGTCATCACTGGCAACACGCACTGGGTGTACAGTCTCGTTTTCAAGGTTTGAGGTATACCTGACGAGAAGATGTGCCGTAATTTCCCGAACGCTGCCCAACCGAGTTGAATCCGTCGATTGACCTCACGGTCGAAGTTGGACTTACCTAGTCGGACTATTTGTCCCAGGTAAACATACTCGTCAACAACTTCGAGCTTAGTGTTCCCAACAACTACCGGCATTGGTGTGACATGGACATTAAACATGATCTTAGTTTTGTCCATGTTCATCTTAAGACCTATCCGTTGGGAAACACTATTGAGGTCATTGAGCATAGTGCTTGGTACTCCAGCGATTCTGCCATAAGGACTATACCGTCGGCAAATCGAAGGTGAGTGATGTACTCGCCATTGATGTTGATACCGTATCCTTTCCAGTCCAGAAGCTTGAAAACGTCTTCCAATGCAGCGGTGAAGAGTTTCGGGGATATGACGTCACCCTGTCTTACACCTCTCTGCAATTGGATAGGTTTCGTACTCTGGTTCAGTACTCGGATAGCCATCGTAGCCCTACTGTACAAGCACTTCAACACTTCGATATACCGACAGTCAACTTGGCACCGCTGAAGGGACTGCAGCACCGCCCAAATTTCGACGGTATCAAAGGCTTTCTCATAGTCCACATACGCCAGACATAGTGGCAAATTGTACTCTTCGGACTTCTGTACAATTTGCCGAAGGGTATGTATGTGGTCTATGGTGCTAAAGCCCTTTCGGAAACCGGCTTGTTCGGGAGGCTGGAAGTCGTCAAGTCTGCGCGCGAGACGATTCGTAATGACTCTCGAAAACAGCACGTAGACGCGGCGCAGAAGGGAAATCGGTATGTAGTTCTTCAAGAGAGCGTTGTCACCTTTCTTGAAGAACAAGACCACCGCACTTCTGTTCCACGCCTCCGGTGTAATGCCACCATGGAGGACGGAATTAAAGAGCTTCTGCAGGACTTCAAGTACCGGTTTTCCACCTGATTTCAGAAGCTCCGCTGTAATTCCATCCTCGCCTGGGGCCTTACCGTTTTTAAGGTGCTGGAGAGCCATTCTAATCTCGCTCAGACTGACGTCCGGGATATCTTCGGAATAGTGTCGGATGAGACTCGCTCTTGGATCGTTACTCACACTTGCGTGTGGCTCCAACGATGACGTGTACAACTGCCCATAGAACCTCTCAATCTCACTCAAAATCTCAGGTGTCCCGGAAACGATGCTGCCACATCCTGTCTTCAGCTTTGACAGTTGGCTCTTTCTGGCAGACAGATCCCTGGCAAAGACTTTGGAGCCTTGGTTCCGCTCGATCGCTTCTTCAATACGAGCTGTATTGAAGTTGCGTAAGTCCCGCCGCATGCATTTGGAGATCTGTCTGTTCAGATGCCTGTATGCTGTCAAGTCTGTTGAAGAATGTAGCTTCATCTCCCGTCTAACAGCCATGAGATTAAGAGTGTGATCGGAGAGTTTTTGTGTTCTTCAGCGGCGGGTCTTGCAGAACTTAACTCCGACCGCATGGACAGTTTCCACGAGCTTGTCATTCATATCGTCCACTTCATTGCAGTCTTCTAGGCACTGAAAACGGTTTTGTAACTCGAGCTGAAAGGTTTCGGGACTTTGGATTAGAGCACGAGGGGGACGGAGCGTTGACTTCATTAGACGAGACCTCTCCAACTTAACGTTTAGGTTCAGTGTGCCTCTAACCATTCGGTGATCGCTACCAGTTTTCACCCTCGCGATCACGGAGACATCACTGAAGAGTTGTCGTCTGGTCGTCATAATGAAGTCAATCTCATTTTTTGTCGAACCGTCGGGGCTCGACCACGTCCACTTCCTGTGGGGCCGCTTCTGGAAGAAAGAGTTCATCATAAAGAGTGCCTCTTTCTCCATGAAGTCAGCCAGCTGCTGGCCCCTTGGGTTCCGTTGCCCTATTCCAAATTTCCCTACTTTCAGCTCACCGTTCTCTCTTGTGCCTAGTTTTGCATTAAAGTCTCCCATTAACACCGTATATTGGGTTTTGGAGGAATGCATGGCTCTAGAGATATCCTCATACATTTCCTCCACCTCCTCATCGGGGTGTGCCGAGGTTAGTGCGTAAACCTGTATGACCTTCAGCGAATACCGTTTGGTGATTCTGAGTATAAGGTACGCAACCCTCGTCGACACACTCCCGATCTTTACAACGTTATTAACGAGAGACTTGTGGACGATAAATCCGACACCTCCTTGGGACAGATGGTCGCCCTCCCGGTGATAGAGCAAGTTGCCGGATTCGAGGATTACCGTGTCCTCCCCCTCTCTTCGGACTTCGGATAATCCTATAATATGCCAGCGCAACTTGTCTATCTCTTCTTCCAGCTCCACGATCTTCTCGTCAGTCCTCAGGATGCGTGCGTTATACGTTGCCAAGTCGAGTCGTCTGGCAACCGAACCTCCACCGGAGATTCTTAGCACCCCCTGCACCGCCGTTACCACGGTCGCCACTGTAGCCAGGAATAGCGGGGCCGCCGGGGACTGGGGGCCGTTTCTTTGTTACTGTCATTCATAGGGGGGTATTTGCCATAGTTGCCACGCTTGGCGAGCGGGTTGGCAACCGCAGTTTTTTTTTTATTGTTAGTTTGTTGTTATCAAGAAGATGCTGCTGCCCATCTCCTGCCTGTTTCCCTTTGTCGCCTTTTACGACACCCACGGGAGGATATGGGGTAGTAGATATTCTTGACCGCCACTACACGGATCGCTAGTGTAAAATATAAAATAAAAAAAGAATAATATGTCGTAAAAAAGTTTCACTTCGTACACGTGTACACAATTACACACACAATTTTTTTTATAAGCCAATGGTTTACCTACAATCGCACCTGGTGGTAATATTGATGAAGTAAACGGTGGCCCTAGATGGTAAATCGCGATGTCTTAGCGTAACAATTAAAGTTTTTTTTGAGATTATTAAAATGTTTTACCACACGAAGATCGTTAAGTTATTTGATATATTCTAGTGATGTGACAATATCCACTATCCCATATTATAGTCACGTGGGTGTCGTTAGAGGTGATATTAGAGACAGCTTAGCGACATACCCAATCTAACCTTTGATACGATGGCGATGACCCATACTGAAAACGCCAACCCGCCTGCCAAACATAGCGATCACATCAAATTCTATCGGATATTATGGGAGAAACCTCTAAGCTACGTCCAACAGCGAATTGTTTACGGGTTAATAAAAAAATTACGAACAATCGGTACTCAGTAAATATTGTGCCTTGCATTTATTTATTCTTTATTCAAACCGAAAATGGACAGCAGCGGCATCCTAATCACAACAAAAAAAAAACTGCGCTTGCAAAACCCGCCAAACGAGGCAACTATGGCAAATATTCCCCTTATGAGGCAACCTATGGGGCGGCCTATGTTGACTTTGATAGGCTGTAATAAATGAATGAATGAATGATCTCACGCAGGCGGGCGAGCCTGTGTACGTTAGCCAGTCCATCGTAATTGAACAAAATAATATAAAACTACTTATTTTTATACCCTCGAGCTTACGCACACTAAAACAATGTGCATGTGCACCTACTTCCACAAGTAAGATCTGCCCGCCATCGTGAGATAAAAATACTATACATGTAAAGATTAAGCTGACGGAAAAATAAAAAATATACTAAGGTACGTGAGGGTGATATGGTCACCTTAAGCTTTGCCGCTTATAAAACCAAAACTAGGAGCAGGACAGAGACAAAAACACAAAGTAGTAAACTATACCTAATATATTAAGAAAAAAATAGCAAATAAGCTATGGCAATGATGAGGAACACTACACAATACTAAAATCGACTAAAATATTTACTATAATGTCAATTGTCAAAATGGCGTCGATAAAGCAGCCCTCTTTTGACCCTTTATTATTTGATTGACTGATGAAGATCTATCACAGAGCCATCCATGCAAGAAAAGGCTGTAGTTTTTGAGTTATAGTAAATTACTATATTGTGCTTTGGCTTGGTTTTCACTCGAAATGTAGGCAGCGCAAAAAAAGAGACAGTTTTTTTATGGTCTGCGACCATAAAATAAGAATTTTAGAAATGAAAATTTTAAATTGCAAAAAATTGATGAAATTTAGGTGATTTTTTTTTATAGGATAAGGGCGACAAACGAGCACAGTCTACCTGATGGTAAGTAGTTGCTGTGGCCCATAGACATCTGCATTTATCCTCGATTACGAATCAAAATGCAGATGCGTTGTCACCCGTGAGGACTAAGATGGAATGCCTCTTTTCCCGTAAAAAGGGTCTCCGGTTCTCTACATTTACCATACGAAACACAGCAGCATTAAGCTGCTATTTTACGCTGGTACTCAGTGAGAGCGTGGTCCTTCCCCGGTCGAGCCGACCCATTCGTGCTACAACTATACCAGTAATATAGCTGCAGCATGGCTCTACCACGTAAAGAATTTTGGGATAGTAAAAATGTTGGTATGTAATTGGTTATGTTATTTCATTTACATTTTTAAATTTACTCATCTATATCAATCCTCCCAAAAATACGACGCATGCCCTCAAACATCATTCTTACCAGGGCTGACACATCATAAAAAGTGTGAAATAAACCATTCTGACATTATGTCCATGTAATTTACTAAAACCGTACTTAAATCCCTTTATCTGCGATTAAAGAGACCCAACCCTTTCTTTTCTTCGTTATCTAACCTGTCACTGACGGTTTCTTGAAGGAAACTCTCTAACGCAACTACAGGCACGTTGTTTGTGACCTCGGCGTAAGTAGAGCGTATATGTGCGATGCGTTGTTTCGCTGCAGCGTAAGCTGCCGCGTATCCCACTGGTTGCTCGGCCGTCACATCGCTCTGTGCAGGATGTCCGCTAAAACGATTTTAATTACAAGTTTGAATAGTCGCTTAGTCAGTTAAGTCACTAATGGTCCCGACTATCACTGAGGCAGACTCTTTTTTGAAATGGCATTCGCATTATTGATTGAAGAACCTACGAACAGCAATTGGCGTTTTTTGAAATACCTTCCCTGAAGAGCAGGAGAAAAATTCACGACCTGCTGGCATTATACATATAAAATAGTAAACGGACGGACTGCCTGCTGTGAATTGTGAACTACTACAATATTTCTCCCTAAATGTGCCATATAATATCCTTCGTCGTCCAATAACAAAACTGTTACATATTCTCTTATTTATTCTCTTGTTTATGTTATATATTGTTACATATTCCTCAATCCAGGACTAACATGGGGTCATACGCCCCGGCACCGCGAATGTGTGACACCTATAACTCTCTCTGTAGTGTGTTGCTAACTGAGGATATTTTTCGTGATACTTTCCCAAAACAAATAAAAAATGTAATAGATCACTATTATAAATTATTTGTAAATGATTGAATTATAATCTAATATCCATGTTCCTTATATGTGCTTGGTTATATGCAAGTTTTATTGTCTTACCACTTTACTAC